TCTCTCTCTCTCTCTCTCTTCCCAATCCCTACTCTATGAGCAACGCTGACTCTCTAACTCCTCACTCCTCACTGATCCGTATATATCAATATATATTGTGTTGTAAATTGAGTTTTGCATGAGTCGAGTGCTCCGCCAAATGTGATAATTATGATGACATGCACTCCCTCTCCCTCTCCTCCCAAACCCCGGCATATGAATGAAAGGGAGAGCACATCACATGCAATACAATACCATTGCTGTGCTATACATGTGCCGTATGTTACCATCGTTTTCAATCAAATAAATACATAATAAAGGAAATCATTTGTCTCCATATGATAGCACTTAAAAGTAATTAAGCGTTTAATAAGTTATTATAATAAGCGATTATAGCCTTTATATTTGAATAGATATAGAAATTTGATATTTAAAATAATTTTATTTAAAATCCTTTGTTTTTCATTTTGCTAAATATAATTTTTTTATAAATATAACTATTTTTAACATCAAAAAACGATTTATAAATTAACACTCATTACAAATATGTTTGATAATTACCATGTGATATAAAATATGGGGTATAATCACTAAAATCCTATTTATTGTATTTGTTATAAACGGTAATCACAAAAAATTAATACCCATTTCAAACATCATTGTTATAATACATTTGGCAATCGTTTTGCTAAACGTTTCATTAAACAAAATTTTGAAAAACTATTGTCTATATATTACGAGTGTTTTAGTCTCCTCTCTAATCGTTGTCTCATTAAAAGCATATTTTATGAGTGAATTTATCGATGATTTCTACAGATTATGTCTATAGAAGAGATACAACGAAGTTATAACATAAGGAGAAACAGTGAAATACGATGAGCTTATGTTATATCTCGTTCACTCTCTCCCTTTCCAGCCCTCCCTCTCACCAACCGCTCACTCCCTGTCTCTCTAACCAAACCTACCATTGAATGCACTTGTCGTCAATGATGATGATAATCAGTGAACTGTATCACCAATTGTTGTGTTGTGTGTATAACCATATATACAGTTCAGAAAAGAGTATATAAATCCAAGACTGGAACAAATGATGGCAATGAGGCATATATTTTGAGTCTCGATCTACTTTCCTCTCTCTCTCTCTCTCTCTCTCTCTTCATTGCTTTTCTCAATCGGCTTTATTAATACTCTCTCTCTCTCTCTCTCTCTCTCTCTCTCTCTCTCTCTCTCTGCCAAAGCATTGTGTAAATATCAGTGAACACAACATACGTTTGAGTTTTACTTTTCACCACAACATAACAGATATTATAAATACATAACAGAGCTGTTGAAAACCCAGAGACTCTTTTGGCTGTACTCTAAGTCGGCGGCGAATAACCATTTTTTACGGTTTTCTGTCAAATAAATATAGGATTTTTATATCATAATCATTGCTATTTCTAGCGATGATTAGTTATATCACATTACGATATATCTGTTTCTCTGCTTATTGTTTGGATGTGTCCTTTCATTGAGGCGTTCATATGTAAAGAAACACAATTCTTGCGAAATATTGTCAACAAATAAGGAGAGAGAGAGAGAGAGAGAGAGAGAGAGAGAGAGAGAGAGA